ACGATATTAACACCTATTGAACGACCATCCTCTTGTGTTGTTTACAAATATGTGGGCAACACTATAAACAGCACATAAAACAAGTAGACAAGTAGAAATAACTATTCATACAGACTGGAGTGCAAAAAATACTACGTTTTACTATTTAAAAAACGATTAATTTATTCCAATTTACAAATTCATAGTTATTTTTTCGTATAATAAATAAGTATATATGTATAGAAACTATATAATTATAACAATATAAATAAACTTAGATCAATGGGGTCATTCTTTTTAGAGGGTAATAATTTTCAAACGAAATAAATAAAATAAACGAATTACGATAAATTTTTATTGTAATTTGTTTTCCAAATGTCTATCGGATATTACTCAACTAAAAGTAAAAGCATTTGAATTGAGTACGAACAAACATAAACTCTATGGGTTTTGTCTATCCAGTTCTTCCGACATCACTGTCATCGATGATCTTTACATATCCAACGTTGCTCGCCAATTAGAACCCTTCGGACCGAAATTGTGCCTTACGCCTTGTATAGTTCATTTTAAAAGTGTTCCTTAATAATGCGATTTTATCAACAGTAGGGCCAAACGAAGTCTAAACATTTTACATTTTGCTTGACATTCAGTACGAGGGCCGCAAAAAAAAGTTTTTGTTGAAATATTATCCTGTCGGTACATTGAGCTCGCGGTTCAGATGACTTGGTATTCCGTAAGTTATCGATTGACTACAACAGTACACTACTAATTATCATGATAAAAGCAATACTTGTAGTGTATACTTAAAATGTGTTGCAGTCCGAGTGTGCATTGTAGTACTGTTGGTCGTCGCCATTAGCCACGACCACCCTCTGAGTTTGTGCGTGTCTGAGAGCGTGAAAAACTATTCCAGTATTCAAAATTATCGTTTTTTCTCTCATTTCCCTCGTTGGAAACGTGAAATACTCTTACCATAAACTAAAAATCGTCATTTGTAGTCATTTACTTTGGCACGGGTACCCACCGTGTCGTTAGGTGACAGCTAAACGATAATTTCTAAAGTCACACATATACAAGTGCCGGTCACTTGTTATTCCATAAATATATATAATTGTCAAACGTGCTTAATTATGACACGGATGCTTTTGTAGTATAGTTATTATTACATGAAACCGGGTCCCGAGAATTCTACGGTATCCGCGACAATAACCCCCCAACTGCTGCAGTAAAGCAATAATAGCATTGCATTACACGGGTCGTACTTTGTGAACGACACAAACTAATAAGTATAGTTTATGACTCATTTTCTAAAAGAACTTCAGCAGTTGAGCAACGACGTAGATTGTGTTTCGACATAATAGGCGATAAGTTTAAGAAGCGAACGTTTTCTATTTTTAATGGTAATATACATAATCTTAGATAAAACGGATTGAATTTACTTAAAAACTAGTCTGGTTACGATCAGATTTTTAGTTTTCACGTGGCAATTAGGAAGGTATTATTTTGAAGTACATCCGATCTTTTAATTGTCTGAATGAAATCGTTAATGTTTAATTTGTCTAGGCAAAAACCGACTTTCCTAAGAGTCAATCCAATCAATGCATATTTTTAAGCTTTGTTTGAATGTTATATGGCGTATTGTTAATCAGAATTTTAGTACATATTTCCATAATGAATGAACGTTAGTTGTTGTAAACGACGTCACGAATTTCCTACTTTTATATTACACGAAAATTAATTACACCATAAATAATAATTATTATTATAAACATTGACTTGTATACAAGGGGAAACAGAACATACTTTTGCTGCCCCTGACTGATTGAATTGAAATGGTTATAACAATAGTAACTTTAAAGAAAAAACGGAATACTAGTAAAATACTTTATTTTTTAAGGATTAAAGAGTAAACTATCATACTTATGATTGTGATATAAATATTTCATACAAAACATTTTTAACAAGGTTATTAATAGTAAACCCCTTGCAAGACCCTTATATCCTCCATAAAATATAGGCCCTTTAGGAAAGGTTATGGAGTGAATTCCTGTGCACGGCTATGATTGTAGATAATATTTGTACTTTAATAAATAATTTAAATAAACTTTCGGTCTTATTTTTATTAGTTAAAAACACTAACGAGAAAAACAATTAAATAATATTTTCAACTTTAATAAAAACAATCGAAATATTTTAGATAAAATTTACTGGCTTAAAATAAAAAATACTAAATTAATATTTAAAGTCAGTTTTCGTGAATTCGTTAATTTTTAGCGATGCAATTTTGTTATATTTTGAAAAAGTTATTGAGCAATGTGAAATTATTCATTAATTTATATAGTAATAATATTAAATTTATTTTATCTTAACAAAAGAATGATATTTTGCAACCAGTATACAATATGAAAGAACAGGATAGTAACTATAATGTTGGGAATAAGTTAGATAAAGGTATATTTCGATTTTCAAGTCGGCAGTATAGAAGAAAAATCGATTGGAAAACATTGAGTAAATAAAAAATAAAATCTTTAATAATAATACGACCGTCTTATAGTTAATTACTTAAACAACTACAAGTTATAATAACGCCGAGGCTGAAATGAAGGACCCCGTACCCATACAATAATTGGACAAAAAAAATTTGTTTCACCACAATATTGATTTTTAAAACTAATATTTGATGGTATGATGAGCAATAAAAAAAAAGTCACCAATCACTATGCGGAGGTCCGAACTCCAGATCTTTTAGAACCCCATATATCCTGGACTCCAGGAGTTAAATAATTTAAAAAAAAAGTACCGAAAAGAAAGTTGACCCAACACACTCCATAAAAATATTAACATTTATAATATATATTATATATTCATTTTTTATCTTAGAATCTTCTTCTTTTTCCTCGCCTTAATCCCAACTACTTAGGGTCGGCAACCCTTATCCTAAACTTCCACTTGACACGGTCACTTACATCATCTACGCCCACATCAGCCGTCCTCATATCGCATTCAATTACTACAACCCCCTAAGTTTAGTTCAGAACTTCTCATACTGTTTGACAACATTTTACGCCGGCTGCCGACCTGACGCAACCTCATTAGGCGCCTCTTACAATTGGTAGTGAGGTCGTGGAAGTATTCTTATCGCCTAATGGAGATTATCCATTTTATTTCTATTAAAATGTTCTGATCCTTATATGTATTACTATCATATAAATGTAAATACAAAATAAAAACTTATTTCTTACTAAATAAAATTTCATTTACATTATCCTGCGTGCACCTTATAAATAAAACAAACCCAATAAAATTTAAAATAGTTTGTTGTGTTGATTTGATAAAACATCGTCAATAAATTCAAGTATTCTACACGAGTAGAATTTTTAATTTCAAACTAACATTTGACAATTGTTTTTTTCTGAAATGATGATAAATATATTTTTTTTTAGCTTCGATGCGAAGCGGAGAAGGTATTAATTTTACTATGATGTGTTTTTTTTTTTTTTTATGTCTGTTGCCACTTTTTCTCAGCTCTCACTGGACCGATTTCTTTCAAAAATACGTCAAAAGATCACAAATCGTATCTAGTTGAAGACATTACCCTTAAAAATTGAAAAAAATTCCCTCGTTCCCCGCAAATGGGGGAAATATCCAAAAAAATTACAAATTTAAAAATCGCTAATTTTCGAAATTTTTTCACTTTTTTTTCTTAAAACTTCCATAACTTTTTGAAAAATCAACAAATCAACATAATTTTTTTTTATACTAAAACCTTAGATATTTACCTTTCATTTGATATCATTTTTTTGAAAATCTATCACTTAACCTGCTCATTGGGGGGGATTTAAAATGGCAACTTTTTTACAAAAATTAATTTTTTCAACTTAATTTTTGAAAATGTTCCGGAAAGACTGCGTCCTTTAAACATATATCAAATTAAAGCTTATTTTATGTACTACAAAATGAAAAAAAAAAATTTGTCCCGACACTTTTTTTTCTACATTTAAACGGCTGCCGTAGTTAAAAAAACACTATTTTTGTGTTAAAATTTTCGATTTTCGATTTTAAATTTTCAACTTAAAAATGCTATAACTTTTTGAAAAATGTATATATCAGCACAAATTTTTTTTTTCTAAATACATTATAAGTACATCTTTCATTTGACATACTTTTTATTAAAATTGGACAATTTCCCCTTATATAGGGGGCGTTCAAAACTTAAAATATTGTAAAAAACATAGATCTTTTTCAACTGAACTTTTGAAAATGTTCCGGAAATACTGCGTCCTTTAAACATATATCAAATCAAAGGTTATGTTATATACTATCAAATGAAAAAAAAAAATTTGTCCCGACATCTTATCTTCTATGTGCAAATGGCTGTCGAAAATTTAAAAAAAAATGTAATGTTTGCGATAAAAATTACATTTTATCGGGATGTTTTTTGTACTTAAAACTGCCATAACTTTTTCAAAAATGAACAAATAAAAATAATATTTTTTTGTATTGAAACCTTAGATATTTCCCTTTCATTTGATATAATTTTTTTTGAAAATCTAACACTTATTCTGCTCACTGGGAGGATTTAAAATAGTAACTTTTTTACAAAAAATAACTTTTTCAACTTAATTTTTGAAAATGTTCCGGAAATACTGCGTCCTTTAAACATATATAAAATTAAAGCTTATTTTATGTACTACAAAATGAAAAAAAAAAATTTGTCCCGACGATCTATCTTCTATACGCAAATGGCTACCATATTGAAAAATATACTATTTTTGTATGATAATTATGGGTTTTGTATTTTATTTTAATAGAAGTTGATGTTGCTTTTGCAATTATCCATCAATTTTTTAAAATTAAACACTATCTACAGATTTGCCTCGAAGCGTTTCTTATGATAGTGATTTTAATCACTGTCAGATTAAATCTATACTGGACCCTACTATGCAATGTCTCCACTATGCCGCGACCCCACTGTGCTACCGTTTTTTATTAAAAATATGAAACGAAATTATTTTTTACAGATGATTTGAATGTTGATGAACTAATAAAAAAAAATGATCTAGAAACTTTATTCAAGACAATTCCAAGTATTTTGAACTTTGATGTTAATAGTATATGTTTATCAAAAAAGATTTTTAGATTATCACAGCTGATTATAGAATATTTATTGTATCAAAAGGGGAATATGGAAACTACAACTGTAAGACTTAATTTTATGATTATAAATCCTTGACTGAACAGTAGCATAAGTGTGTAATTTAACAATAAAAAAAAATGTTTAATTTAAAATTTTTGAAAGTTCTATTTAAAATCGATTGTATTGTAAAATTATATTTATGAGAAATATTTTATAAATAATATCTCTGAATTACATATGTTCTTAGAAATGCAATAAACCGTTTTTTAAACGTATTTATTGTTTTTAAAATTACTTTTTTTTCATTTATTAGTACACAACTATTAACTGCCATGAAGAAGAAAGTAGCTCTTTTATTTTTTGGGACTTATCATTTTTATGAAAATTTTCATTTTATTTACATAGGTATTTTTTCAAATTTTGTAAAAACAAAATGTTTTTATTCTTTTTTACTTTAGAAACTTCCAGATTGTTCTAAAAATCATAGCTGCAAATTTAATCATAAACTCAAAGCAACTTACCAGGTAAATATTTACAATTTTATTATTTATTTTTATTTTATTTTTGTTAATATTCGATTATTCAGGCTTCACCACAATCGGGAGACACCAAAAACTTAAAAAATAGCACACAAAATACTACAGGTGATCCAATGGAAACTTATAAGGTATGTCCAATGTATAACAAATACAAAGTCATGAAAGAAAAATACAGTAACTTACGAAAAGACATACCCAATGGAAAATTCTCGGAGAAAATTAAGTCTGATAGTAAGTTATTCAATTTTATTTTTATACATTTTAGCTTCGATGCGAAGCGGAGAAGGTATTAATTTTACTATGATGTGTTTTTTTTTTTTTTTATGTCTGTTGCCACTTTTTCTCAGCTCTCACTGGACCGATTTCTTTCAAAAATACGTCAAAAGATCACAAATCGTATCTAGTTGAAGACATTACCCTTAAAAATTGAAAAAA